GAAACAAAGTTACAGATTTGACAAAATACCAAGTGTATACACAGTAGAGAAAATGTGTAAAGCAAACACCATTAGGGTAAATGTGAGCAGATGTGTGAAATAGAAATAACTGTAGCTAAGGATGAAATATTTTCACTTCCACCCATAATTTTAGCACTGACAATATGGTTAAAAAAGGAAATACATTCAATTAAGAAGGTATAAATCCATCAACAATAAATCTTACACAAATTATATCAATTAATAAAATATTGCTTATTTTTTAGAATCTTACCTTGACTGCTAAACTGGGTAGGAAACTAGTAATATGGTTTTCATTTGTTTGTTTAGTTAAAATGAAATCACAAGAAAAATCAAGCCATCTATCTTAATAGTGCAGGATTTATTTAAAGCAAATAACTGTACTCTGGGATTTTAATTAATGGCTCTACAATTGTATTCAAAATTCATTGAGAAGACTATATTCTACATATGCATATTATTATGGACATCTTTAGGCTCAGAAGACGCTACTGAACAAAAATAGACTAGGGTTTATTTATTTATTTATTAAGAATTTCCACCTCCTCCCCATCTCCCTTTTCCCTCCCCATTCCCACCTCCCCCTCCCTCTCTAGTCCTAAGAGCAGTCAGGGTTCCCTGCCCCACAGGAAGTCCAAGGTCCTCCCCTCTCCATACAGGTCTATAAAGGTGAGCATCCAAACAAACCAGGATCCCAAAAAGTCAGTCCATGCAGTAGAATCGAAACCCAGTGCCATTGTCCTTGGCTTCTCACTCAGGCTTCATTGCCAGCCACATTCAGAGTGTTCAGTCTGATCACATGCTCCATCAGTCCCAGTCCAGCTGGCCTTGGTGAGCTCTCATTAGATCAGTCCCATGGTCTCAGTGGGTGGACGCACCCCTCATGATCCTGACTTCCTTGCTCGTGTTTTCCCTCCTTCTGCTCCTCATTTGGACCTTGGGAGCTTTTGGCCCCTATAGAGTTTATGTTATCTTGATAACAATCTCCTTATCAATAAATCTGAATCAATATAGATTATCCTATTAGGCAAGAACATATTTCCTCTATTCTTTAGAGTTGGTCAGAAATTTTTTATGAAGGCTGGTGAGGTGGCTCAGTGGGTAAAGGAGCTTGCTGCCAAGCCTGAAAACCCAGGCTTAATACCCAAGACCCACTTGGGAGAAGAGAACTTCTCTACAAAGTTGTCCTCTGACCTCTACATTCAGGATAGGGCATCGGTGGTCTCACATTTATACACATATACACACGAATCTGTACACGTGCATGCGCGTGCATGCACACGCGTGCCCCCACATACAGAGTAAAGAAATTGCTCAACGATTAAGAACACTTACTGTTTGTTGATGAAGAGAATTTAGGTTCACTTCCCAGCACCTAATGGTAGCTCACAGCCATTCGTAACTCTAGGTCCAGAAGCTCCATGCCCTCTTCTGATATCTGAGGCACTACACGTACATGGCACATATACACACATGAGGGCAAAACATCTATACACCAAAAATTTAAAAATAAATCTAATATATATATATATACTAAAAAATATATTTGTTACCAACAGATGTGACTATACCATAACATGTTCTTACCAAATATTTTTAATTTTCTTATTTCACCTCCATAATTTGTTTTCTCTAGGAAGGACAATGTGGTAAGATGTATGGGGACAAAAGTCCATGCTAATTACATGATTTGAACACACATTTCTATCAGTTCCTACTACAACTAGAGTCTAGCTATGTGACTCTAGCCTGTGCATCAGTTCTCTTAAGAGAAGGCAACCAATTTCTGACTATATTTAAGACCTGCTCTATAGAATGAAATCCATAACTGGCACCATTACTGATTTTAGAATCTATGATCGGACAGATAACAGGCCCTGTACAGAACTTATGCAAGTCCAAGCCAGGCCACTCCCACCACATTAATGGGATTTGGGTATGAAATCTCACTTCATCTATGGTACTACTGGCAAACATTAGCAGCTAGAAAAGGAGACACAGTTTTGTCTAAGAGTGTACTCCCTGGTAAGTCAATCACATTCTACGGGAAAACTTATGCAGCATGAATTAGTACTAATGGGTTATTTAAAAAAGATACACAAAGTAGGGTGGGTAGCTGTGGGAAGAATCTAGGGGTGGGTAATATATCAAAACATATTGAATGAACCTTTCAACAGATGAGAAAGTCTAAACATGAATGATTAAGAAGACTATAAATAAGTTAATTTTTACTTTATTTATTTCACTATGATGTGGTAATACCTGGAAACATACAAAAGGAAAAAAAATTCTTGAGTGTATCAATATTACCTAAGAATGAATGTGCTATACATTAAACAAGACATTCTTTTTCAGATTTTGAAGAAAGCCTTTTCTTTCAGAAGCATGTTAAAGGGTTCCCACATATACATGCTATTATGCACAATCCAAGGTGATTTAAGTGAAACAGTGTTAAGAAAATATGTTATTAACTCCAAAAGTCACACACAAGCCTGCATGATGCAGATGAGTGTTTTTATAAGGAAAGCTCATTTGGGGCAAATGGCACCAAAAAGAGGCCAATTCTACTCTCTTCCTTCATAAATAAATAAAAAAGATGGTTCTATGGTGATATGCAAGATATTCATCAGAGTGGCTATAGTATAGGGCCAGTTCAGGCGCCCTCTCCTCAGCTGCCCAGGGAACAAGCTGGGGACATCTCCTTGGACACCTGGGAACCCCTCTAGAGTCCAGTGTCTTGCCAACCCTCAAATGGCTCCCTTCATTAAGATCTATACTTCCCTGCTTCCATATCCACTCCTCCTGCATCCCAACCATCCCATTCCCCCAAGCTCTCCCCATCCTCCCCTTCTCACTTCTCTCTCCCCATCTCCCTTTACCCCCGTCCCACCCCCACCCCCAAGCTCTCAATTTTTGACTAGCAATCTTGTCTACTTCCAATATCCAGGAGGATAACTGCATGTTTTTCTTTGGATTCACCTTCCTATTTAGCTTCAATAGGATCAAGAATTATAGGCTCAATGTCCTTTATTTATGGCTAGAATCCACTAATGAGTGAGTACATACTATATTCATCTTTTTGGGTCTGAATTACCTCACTCAGGATAGTGTTCTCTATTTCCATCCATTTGCATGAAAATTCAAGATGTCAAAAATAATAAAAAAGATGGAAAAATAGCTACAGTATAAAAATTGGAAAAGAATTAAGTGAAAAGTTAAAAACAAAACAAAAGAGATCAAATCCTAGTAGTCAAAAGAGTCTATTCAGAGATGCAGACATGAAGAAAATAAAACAGATACATATAAAGACAGAGAGAAAAACTCAAGCAATGCTGGTAAGACAGAATGGAAGCGAAATGAGAAGTCACTCTTCAAGTGAGTGAATGAGACAATCTGTAAAAATGGCAGCAAACAATGGAGAAATAAGCATCTCACCATTGCCAAGTCACGGTACTGCTTCCATTTCACACACACACACACACACACACACACACACACACACACACACACACACACGAAGACTACAAGTATTTAAAAAGTCTCTTCAGAGTCATTTTTGGAATCTGGATATGAGAGGCACTTTATCATAAATGGTAGTTAGACATGGGATAATAAGGCAAAATTTAAGAACAACAGATAGACATAAAAGCCAGAATGAAAACTTTGGTGTAGTTGTGCAAAGATTTCATATATCTACAGCAGAAAACACAGAATACGTAAGATACTTTAAATTTCATAATTATTAAACAGTGGGATGATTCACAAAAATTGAAAAATTATAGTTTGCCTAACTAATTTGACTCATGGTATTAAACATGCTGTGTATTCCTGGCCAGGGCATAGTTTTCAGGATCTTGAAAATTAATATACTGACTGCCATTGAAGTTCAATTTTTAAAACCAGAAAGATTGTGTCATATCATAAAAAGATAAAGAAATAAAACCAGTAATCAATGCATTTTGCCTCAGAGATGGTATGAAATACTTAACTAGGAATCTTTAAGGATAAATGTGCACATGAGTCAAATTGAATATTCTAAAATGTCACTACTACACTACAGGATAGAGCGAGGTCTGGTACTCACACTGCAATTCAGCAGGGGAAAATAAGAATTTCACACAAGTTTAAGAGAAATCTGGACTACACAGCCAATCTGGGCTACACAGTCTTGTTTTTTCCCAACCCTCTCTATAGTCATAAAATATTACATTGTAAGTTTAAGTATGATGAATTTTTCAACTTTAAAAGACATATCAACTTACTATCTTCCGCCTTCCAGCAGCATTTTATTAAATGTTTTACTGTTAAATTCTAGCAAGCAAAGCACGACAAAGTTCAAAAATGTTTGCGCATGTCAGTACAGAACTCTGTGTCCTAGGGTGGCACTGCTTGTAGGGACCCCATGATTCTATGCAAAGGCTCCCCGGAAATGACAAGAGCAAACACCAAAAATCCCCTCATTGCACTGCCTCTGAATGGTCTGAGCTTATATATTTATTGACATATTAACTACTTCCCCCTAAATGACTTAGACACTATGGATGAATAATTGTTCATAAACATCTGGTGAAACTTGCCACCACAGATGAAGACAATCTTAGATCTCGTTTTAGAATTATTGCGCTATATTTAGTCTCATCAGGCCTTGAAGTAGTAACATGCATTAAAAAGTTTTCTTCCTTTTGGCTGTATCATATTAAAATTTTAGAAATGGTTACTTGAAATACCAATGACACAAAAGACAACAGCATTTACACTAGAGATTCTATAAAGTGTTGCAAGCAAATAAGAGTGAAAGGTTTTATAACTTTAATTAAAAAGAAAGAAAAATCCCATCCAAATTGACATATAATCATGGAAAATAAATGTTTTCTAAAAAGTAAAGAATCAATAGCTTTTAGGACAATATAATAATTGATATGAGATGAAATACTAAGAAAAGCAAAGGAGCAGTGAAGGGAAGTAGTGCACTTTCTCACCCTGATAAACAGCTGCATCATTTCTTTTTCTTTTTGGGGGTTCCGGTACTTCTCATAGAAGTCACGGCGCTTCTTTGTTTCTCTAGAGACTTTATCTTTCCTCTCTCGCTTCTCTGCCGGCTCCTCTGTGCCATCAGAAGATGACTGTTTGTGGGGTTTCGGCTTTTCCACTTCAATATAGTTTTCATTTGGGTTCAGGACTATGACTCCATACCCTTCCTATTTTGAAATGAAAAAAAAAGGTGGTACAATTTGAAATCAGAATTCATGTCAATCAATGAAAAGTTCCTAACAAGGTAATTTAATGCAGTTTCAAATTGCTAAAACATTCTTTCAGCAAAGATTAGGCTAAATTTTTAAATAAAGTCAAAACTGTTTGCCTTTATTACATGCATAAATAAGCATAGATTATCTGCAAGAATAAAAAAACATGGACATGGTTAATACAGAGAAAAACGAAGAATTTTAAATGAAAAATACAATCTATTCCTAGAATGATCAAGATAAATTATTACACAGGAATATGTTCAAAGTACAAATGTGTGTTTTGAGAAAAGTGTATCAGCTGTGCACCTTGGACCTTACTCTCTTTCAATACAGAAAGACCAAAAAAAAAAAAATCAGAGCAAAATAAACCAATGGAATGACGAGCGGAAAGACCTGTTTAATCTGGAATCTTGCTTCATTGTCCAGGCCACAGGAACAGGCTATCTTGTTTAAGATTGAGTGCCCTAAAACTGTAAGTCTAGCTATAATGGCTTTAGATTTTAAACATATATGTTCCTGACTTACTCACTTCTACAAGGCAAACATTTCTGCAGTTAATAAAAACATCAGCTATTCAGATTGAACTGATGAATTAATCTAAACATTAGAGACACAACAACTACTACCAAGTTTGAAGAATGGAAAAATTTAAGTAATTTATGTCTTTTCTATTCAATTATGTATTACAAATGCCCTAATTATAATCTTGTAAAAATCTTTTAAGGTCATACCTAGAAATGTAATATATTAAGACAAAAAATATAAAGACCACAGAAAATAACATTTGTAAAGTCTGCACCCATATTAAAAACAAATATAGTGTTTCAAACTATAGCCATGGAATTTTCTACATAAAGCTCATATTTCAATTCTTTTAAATAACAAACATTAGTTTTAAAAAAAATCAATCTTGACATAGCCCTAAGTTCTTACTTTTAGGTCTACTCTGCTGTGGTTGTGATTTTTTGTTTTGGTTTTGACCAATGAACTAGCTGTAAATGTCATTGGAATCCTTTCCCCTCTTACTGTTGACTAAAACCACTGGTGGCCTGATTTTGATGTAGGGCTATTAATTAAGATATAATCTTTTTATACATGTGGAAACTAATAATAAGCATCAATGATAATGATAATAATAAAACCACGATGAGCAAAATGCCACACACTCAACAGACCCTGCAATCAAACTTGTGCATAAATGCCTCTTTCTGAATTACTGAAAGAGTAGTGTAAAAACTCCAACCTTTGACTTCAGAGTAAGACAGACGTTGCACACTTTCCTTTTTAAGTTTGTTAGCTGTTGAGTCGAAGTTTTACCAACAAAAGACATTTTATTTGGGCCTGCTTTATTCTAATCTGTATAGCCATTCAAAAGTCTTGTAAGTCATTGTGATCTCTGTCAGGTAGACAGATTGTCACTTGGTGATTTTCGACAGTTGGACACACTTGACTAATTATTAAAATAACATTTGAAGGAAGTTCCTAACAATCTTCCTTGTGCCTTTTACAACTGTTCACCACCCGTCTCAAATTTTACCTACACCTTCTCCTCCCACCAAAGTAAATTAAAGAGCACTGTTACACTCTGCTAAGCATGATGAAATGCAGACATTCAGTACACTGTCTCTGGTGTAAGGAACATGGCCAAAAAAGGTCAGCACAGGCCAAAAAGAAAACTGACTCCCCACTAGATCTGTACTGTGAATGAGTGGTCGCCTGTCATAGTTCTTCCCTATCTTCTCTGAAAACCGCATGCATGCACATGTGTGCACGCGCACACACACACACACACACATAGAACTTTCATACTCATACACAAGTTAAAAAGTCCAAAAAGAATCTTAAATTGCATAAAAGCTGTAAAGAATTGTTTAGCTCAGTATAATGATGATAAGAATATTCAAACCCAGGGCAACAAAGTGACATTTTAATTATTGATTATATTATATGATGCTTATTTGATAATTAATATAATAATATAACAAGGATTTGCAATGAGAACAACTCTGTGCAAAACTAATAATCAAACTGATATGTAACTTAATTACCCAAATATTATTTCCATAACATCAGACCCCTCTGGGCATTTTAACCTCATTTTTGGAAGTCAGACTTAAAAAAAGAAGAAAAAAAAAACCTTGAGCCTAGGTGATTTTAAATAGACCCTGAGATGTGAGATGTCCTATCTAAATAAGCTTTAAAAACATACATACATAAAGCATCAAAGAAGTAGTAGTTGCCTAAGTTATTTATTATGTAACTGAGAATCACTTATTCAATTTTCTAAAGGCACAATGTCCATTTTTTCACCAAGGCATCAACAGAAGAAAATGATACCATTTATAAATCACCATAATGCAAATCAATTAAAGAATTTAAACATTTAATGTCAAGAATAAATTCTGAAATAGTTAAATTATTGTTTTTAACTGCCCAAACCAATTAAAGAATATTTTATCCTTTAGATATTTTAAATTGTCATTTTATTTAAAATAATAATGATCACAAATAATCAGGGATATTTCCTGCAAAAATAAAACTTGAAAATTCAATTACAATTCTGATAAATAAAATACTAGCATTTTGAATTATTATTTCATAATAAACTGTACAATGTTCAAAAGTTCATTTTAACAAGTCTATAAAGAGTAGAATAAAGGCTGCAGAGGTATTTGCGTTGATTTTCTTAAATCCTAACCACAGACTACCCCAACTTCACCTGCTCCTTATCGTTCTCTTTTACATATAATGTCAAAAATACCTTTATATAAGATTCTATATTTATATATTTGTATAAAGGCTATGGTAATGTCAACACTGATAAATGGTAGCTAAGGTGCAAAGAAAATAAAGTGAGACAAAGCAGAGACAAAAATTATCTACACTTGTTTTAATAGAACTTATAACTTTAATAACTAGAACATACACTAACTTAAAAAATAATTCTATTCCCAATAATTCAGTAAAACACAGCAAGCTAAGGAAAAAATGACTGATAGTGTGATCTTTCTTGAATGTAAAGTTAACAAACTACCAAATAAAATCAGACATAAAGCATATTATAAAGAACTATGTATTGCTGCCCTTAACAGGGGAATCTTTAACATGGGCCTGAATGCTACACTGAAGCATTCTTTTTAAACTTAATTGTTCCCTAAGTACATGAAAGTCCCATAGCATGTGAAGGAAGCTGCAGCATTCTAAATACACATGGAAAGTTCTTCTGTTACTGGGGTTTCATTTACACGTCTTTACTCATAAATTCTAAATTACAGGATCTTAATCTGAGATTCACCAGAGTCTAGTGCTAAAACACAGCATTTTGTTAAACACGATCAACATAAAATACACAGTCCCAGGGTCTCTCACTGTGAAGACTAAAAAGACACTTACTATTAAATAATAATTTATCATTTCATTAACAAATAATGGCAAAGGCTGAAACAGACAGGTAATATTCAACACAAAGAACACACAGGAAACTGTGCTAGAGAAATTAAGGGAGCACAGAAATTTACTTATCAAGACGGTATTGACAGAAATCTAAAAATAGCTGACAAAAAACTACTTTTCATGCCAAATAAAACTATAAAAACTAAAGAGTTATAAAAAGCTTGTGTATTAATTACCAATTATAAAGAGAACAGAAAATAGGGGCAAATTCCACAGCTTTTAAAATATCCTATGAGTGGCTAAAATTTAAAAAAATCAGTTGAAAGTAGTCTGCTCTGCATATTAACTTGCCAATACTCGAAGCCACATGTGACCAAGGAGGTCAACGGCCACACTAGAATCTTTTGACCCAGGGAACTATCCATTTCGGGCTCCAGGCAAAGCTCTGTAGGAGCTCATTTTACATAGATCTATCAATCATATTCTTCCAGTTCACCATTCTACCTGCTTCGCTTCAAAGAGGACAGGTGTTCATCCTGAAGGCAGTGTTATCTATAACTGCCCACAGTTAAAATGCACAAACAACTGTCCACTCATCTCTTTAGAAAGAGTTATGCTGTTTCTTCTCGTCTTCACAAGAACGGTATGCATATGTCACTGCTGCAACATCTTAGGTGCAGCAGTGAGATGAGGTCATGACAACCAATCAGAAGTCACTAGTGAAGCGTTAAAGTAAGCATAGCTGCTGGAGCTGCAGCTCTGCTTGGAAAATGCCCCCTTCATTATTTCAGCAATTTTCTCAAGACGTGACCTGGCACTGAAATGCCTGAAATGTCACTTGACTCTTTTTTGTGCTTCTCAAGAAGTACTAAGGTATTTGCACCCTACAAATATTTTATAAAATATTCATGAGGATTATCTTTTAATGGGCAGTTTCATGAATATCATGCTGTATACATGATATAAAATACCTGTAATATCAACCAACATAGATTATCCCAGATAAGTCTCCTACTTAAAATAGATCATCAAGTTAGTCAGTGAAAGAAAACATGCCACAAAAAGTTTTCAGAGGACCACCTGTTGTCTATTATTTTTACATAGCACTTACTCATAAATCATAACACAGGGTAATTAATCAAGCTGTCAAAGAGAAGGTCAAAGGTTATATAGCAGAGTCAGAAGGTCACGCATGGGCTGATAGAGGTCAGGGTCACACTGCATTCCTCATTATCAAGTTGGGATGAGAGACGGCCAAGCAAACAAAAGTGAAAGCAGATGGAGAAGTAAGAGGATAAGAGGAGAGAGAACATTTTAGAAATAAAAGAAAAATGCAAGAAGATTCTCAATTGCCTTCAAATAGAGAATAAAAAAGAAAGAAGAAATGTGCTTAAAAGAGCCAAAGAACATAAAACAACTACAATTTTGTCAATTTACTAATTGAATATAACATTTTTCTTGTCAATTTTCTTAACGCATACTAAGCATTATCACAAATATATATGGGCGTTTACTATCTTTCTTCTAGTTTCTATGTTCAGGATTAATTAGTGTAAACC